AGGGCCAATCCCCAATGGAAAAAAAAAAAAAAAAAAAAAAAAAAATAGCAATTGCCTTTGAGCTAACTCATACTAACAACTGAAAGAAAACACACATTCTATATAGAGAAAAATAGAAAAGTCATTTACATGTGCACTTATACATAATGTTACTAAGTAGGAAGTAGAATAAAGTGACTCTTTTGTCTTCCTCATAAATCATTAAGAATCTTATAGAATGGTTAGAAGGCACTTCATAATTTTCCTCTGCTGGAAGAGAACATTTAAAATAAATTCTACCCGCAACACTTGACTTTGAAGATGATAGAATTTTTCATTTTTACTAACCCATACAAAAGTTTTGAAATTGTGATACTGCTTTAATTTGTGAATTTGATTCAGTTCTTAAAATATTTCATTTTTTCTTGTTAGTTTTTATGAAAGAGTTTGCCAATGGATTGTTTTTCAGGACACCCACTTTTGCAGGAGGCCTTTTTTCCATATCAAAAGAATATTTTGAGTATATCGGAAGTTATGATGAAGAAATGGAAATCTGGGGAGGTGAAAACATAGAAATGTCTTTCAGAGTAAGTTTATGGAGATTAAATATAGCGCACATATTAAACAATGAAATACATTGTGTTCTAATTGGCTGGTACAGACTTTTACTGGATGTATGCAGTCTTTGCTTTTCATGCTTTCTAAAATTTCATTGCTATGAATTTTGGAGTAAGGATATTTCCTTTTAAAATGTAGCTTAATGTATTTATTCATTGTTGCCAGTGTAACAAGAGGAATCAGTTCAACTCCTGTGTCCAGGCAATAACACCAATTAACGCACTTGTAGCTACTGAATTCCAGCCAAGATAAATATAATTAAATCTAGTGCTTCAGGAAATGAGTTGATTATCAAGGGAGTCCGAATGGAAAAAACATTTATGAATAGCTTTAAAGAACATTTGACTTAACTCTTTGGATTAAACAAGCTGTTTTTTTCCCCTTACATATTAAAAGTTAATCTGAGTAACAAACTCTTCACATATATTTATTTGATTTCCTGAGTTCTTTATCTGTCATCACTTTATCAATTATGTTTTATCCATTAGGCTGGAAGTAGAAGGAAAAGAACTGAAGTAGGAGTTAGAAGATTTAGGTTTTGGTCTGACTCCATCACATACTGGCAGTAATGATCTTAGCCAAGTTAGAACCATATAAAAGCAGGGGTCTCGTTTTATTCATTTCAGTATTTCCAGTCCCTAGCGTGTGTGGGATCTCAAGCAGTTTGTTGACTTGAACATGTCACTGAGTTCTCTCATTTGTTTAAAAAGAAAAAGAAAAATGGGGACACCAGATTGTATAATGGTTACGTCACTGGTTTCCCACTTGGCCAACTGCAGTTCAAGTCCTGGACTCAGTGGCTTGAAAATCACTCTGAGCACGTTTGCAGGTGTGCTCAAGATCCCAGGAGGAGAATAGAGGAGAAGGGATTGCAGTATGGCCAATCCTCCTTGGGGGAGTGATTTCTCACTTTCCCTCTCACTGTCTCTGTCTGCCAAGCATGCTCGCCCTATGACAAAAATCTCTTAGAAAAAGAAAAAGAAAAAGAAAAAGTTTTGCTTATTTGTCCTTATAGCACATACTTTTAAACATGACTTGTTTTCTGATTTTTTTTTGCTTAGTGATTGATTATTTATAGAAGAATCAATTATTATGATATTTAAGTGAAAGATTGATTTTTATGATTTGTCATTTTATGTAGAGCTAATGCAAACAAGTTTTTGACATCTTCTCACAAGATAGGCATGAGTCTTTTTATACTGATCAACTACTTCACAACTTTAGTAGGTTATACTTTGGTATTGCTGACTGCCTGGCATTGTTTTCTTGATTATAAAATTATGCCACAGCTAAATAGAGTCTGGGTGTATTTACACCCAGACAGCTAGTTCATGCCTTAGAAGAGAAACCCAGTGGTTTAAGTGAACTGGCCATGTAAGCTGTGTAAGATGGAAGCAAAATGCACAAGAGCCTTGGTCTTCTGTGTGTATCAGAGAACCTACAGAATTGTTTGCAGAAAATGAAATTTTGAAATTCACTTTTATGAAACATGTGAAGTGACTGTTTTTTAAAAATTTGCTTTCTGAAAATGTGCTTTTGTTTTCAGAAAATAGTGCTTATACTCTTTATTAAGATCATTCTTTGTGTTCAAGAACCTAAGTTGGCCTGGCAAAAGACAGAGACTATTTGTGATGTTGTGATAAATCTCTCCTCTGTATTTTGTTTTTGTTAATATCTTAAAGGTGAACTTAAAAGCACAGTTTGATTTTCCTAAAATACTGTAAATTTAAACAAATATCATTAATTATCAGGTATGGCAATGTGGTGGGCAGTTGGAGATTATGCCTTGCTCTGTTGTTGGACATGTCTTTCGCAGCAAAAGCCCTCATTCCTTCCCAAAAGGCACTCAGGTGATTGCTCGCAACCAAGTGCGCCTTGCAGAAGTCTGGATGGATGACTACAAGGAAATATTTTACAGGAGAAACACAGATGCAGCAAAAATTGTTAAACAAGTAAGTTCTAACTAAATAATTCAATTACAATAAAAATTTATACAAGCTTGGGACCAGCAGGTAGCATAGTGGTCAAGGCACTGGACACCCACATAGTTGACCATGGTTTGAGTTCCAGACCTGGTGGCTTGAAACACATTGGGCATATGTGCATATGTCCCCAAAATCCTGAGAGGAGAATGGAAGAGAAAGGACTGTGGCATGGCCATCCCCACAGAGGGTGATATCTTGCTTTCTGTCTCTCGGTCTCTCCTTGTCTCTCCTGCAAGCACATAACACCCAATAGTAAAAATCTCTCTACAAAAAACATTTATACAGGTTTGTATGTACTTTTGTTTATTTAGATTTTCTCAGGTTAAACAAACAAACAGCAAAAAATGTATTTTTGAAGCTGGTGTTTTTTTTTTTAATTTTAACTCAAAATGTATAACTTTTGAATGCTAGTTTCCTCCTTTATTACAGAAAAATTAAGTAAACTACTTTTTAAAAATTCTGACATTCTATTTGATGTTATCTTTTTTGTTTCTTCTTCATTCATGAGCAAGCATGCACACGTACATGTAGAAGTGAGAGAAAATAAGAGCGGTGAGCCCCGCCAGAGGGCCTGGTCATGCTGTGAGCCCCAGAGGGTCTGGTCATGCTGTGAGCCCCTTCTTTCAGTCTTCCAACCCATCAGATTTGGGGCACTCACACACATGCCCGGTATGTTTCAGACTGATCGGGCCAGGGATTTGAACAGTAGTTGCCACGTGGAATATAGCTTCTCTTGAGCAGCACAGTACTGGTGCACCACAGAGCGGGCACAGGATGTATCTTTTTAGATAGGCAAGATATTAGATATTTTGTTTTGTTACTGCTTAGGTTTAATATTTTACTCAAAGAAAATAAATTAAGTAACGTTGCTTTATACTTCAACTTTTGGACCTATCAAAAGTTCTAAGTAGCTTTTATTTATTTATTTATTTTAACTAGAGGGAATGTATGGTTTCCAGAAAGAGAGAATGAGAAAACCTGCTCCCTGCCATTGAGGGAAGGCCACACTGCAATTTTCCATTTCTCCTTTCAAAATTTTGGGTATACATGCACATATACCCAGTGCATTTTTCAAGCCATTGGGTCCAGGACACAACCCACACGCTCATTCATGTGGGATCCACTTTATGCCACCAGCTGGCTCCAAAGTAGCTTTTGGAACTAGAGCTAGAGATTGTGTCTTAATGTGGCATGAGACTGAGCCAAGAATATAAAGGGATTTTTTTTTTTTTCAAGTTCCAGTTTCACTGCTCACTGGGGGTTCTACCTTAGCGAGTAAAGCTCCTTAGAAAATGTAAAATGGGACTGACGCTTTGTAGGGTGCTTATGAGTTGGCTGACATGGACTGTAGGCTCAGAGTGAGAGCAGGCAGTGTGTTAACCAATGTATGGCGCTCTCCTTAGCAACCTGTCCTAGATCGATTCTGCTCTGCAGAATTGTGACACCTGGTATGTTAGAACTGAGTTCTAGGAGAAGACTTGCTAGACAGTAAAGGGAGAACTTGCTTATGCTCTGCTGGTCACCCACCAAGGGCCAAGTGAGCCTGCAAACACCCGTTTTGCTGCAGGACCCATAGATCTACTTGGTAAAATGCATAAACTAGCCAGGAGACCTTACGAGTCAAACTTTTTGCTGAAACACCTGGGTTTAAGATATTGAAGTTGGCATAAGAAAATATTTTTTTTTGTTGAACTTGTAAGCTTTAGTATTTACTTTTTTACACATTTAGGTATCAAATACATTTTTTTTTCTAAAATTTTGCCTCTTAACAAAATAACTTCTTAGTTTAACAGTGCTTTTTTAAATGTTTTTCTTTTTCCCCTCTAAAAATAAAGGAAAATAAAATGCAATGAACTCAAAAATTGACTTTTTCTAGTAAGGTTCAGTTTATAGTTTGTTGTGAGTGAGCAGTACCCTTAAGCTAGCAAAAGAAAAAAAAATGACTATTTCCAGTTATGTTATCTTTTGGTGGCAGTTTTATGTTTGTTTGTTTTTTTTATTTGCCAAAGAACACATGTGTTCATCAGAAAGAGACAAAGTGAGTGACAGAGAAGGAGGGAGCAGGAGAAAGCACCCCACAATGGAATGTGGTCATGTGCAATCCCTTCTCCATTTCTCCATCCTGTGAAGATTTTTTGGTGCACACACACATATGTCTGGTGTGTTATTCAAACTACTAAGGCCAGGACTGAAACTGGTCAGCCATGTGGGATCTGCCTCCCTTAACCACCAAGCAATGTGGCCAGTCCTGGTGGTTGTTAATTGCGGACTTGGTTTAGAAGATATATAAATTGCATGATGTTTTGACACTTTCATCTATACCTCTCATTTCACACCTCACTTTACAGATCACTTTTAGGTATGGAGTTGGGCTCATTTTTGGATGCTCCCACTATCATTCTTCCACTCATGGCATTTCTTTAGAGATCTTTGTTCTGTAGGAAAGGCACAACTGAAAGACAAAATAGCACCGTGTCAGCACTGCAGTAGTCCTCAATTCTTTCTGAAGCCAGAAACAAACAGGCAGGCATATTTGTTGCCTGATTGAGTGGTGAATGCATTTAAATTGCATATTGCATTTTGGCCCAGAATTTTTTATATCTAAATTTAAATACAAACAATAGCATTTGAAGTACTTTATTGATGCTGTTGTTTTGATTAAGCGCTTCCTTTACTTCTCTCATCTTGTTCCAGAAATCATTTGGTGATCTTTCAAAACGATTTGAAATAAAACATCGCCTTCAATGTAAAAACTTTACATGGTATCTGAACAATATTTACCCAGAAGCATATGTGCCAGACCTTAATCCTGTTATATCTGGATATGTGAGTATTTTTCTGTTCCTTTTTTGCTTGATATACTTGCCACCAGCATTTCTGTGGTTCAGAGAAAATTGCTAAAATACTTTCAGACTTATTGCTTTTGAGATTTTACAGTACTATTATGACTACTATCTGAAATTAATTTTAAAAATATGTAAACTACACAGATGCAAAAATTTTTTATGACTTGAAATTTTTTATTTAGATTAAAAGTGTTGGTCAGCCTCTATGTTTGGACGTTGGAGAAAATAACCAAGGAGGCAAACCTTTAATTTTGTATACATGTCATGGACTTGGAGGAAACCAGGTGAGCACTCCACTAAAAATACTTCCTCGGGGCCAGCAGGTGGCATGGTGGTTAAGGTCGTTGGACTACCGCATGGCTGACCACAGTTCGAGTCCCGGACCTGTCAGCTTCCTTTCTCATTCCCCACCCTCCCCCACTCTGTCCCTCTCTGGTCAAATTAAAATAACTAAATAAAGTTAAATAAAAAATATTTCTTAAAAAAAATTTCCTTCTCAGGGCAAGCATGTGAGGTGGTGGGTAAGGCGCTGGTCACTCCCACATGACTGACAACTGTTCAGGTCCCAACCTGATGGCTTGCTTTCTCACTTTCCCTCTCTCTTTTTTTTTCTCTCTCTCTGTGTCTCTCTCTGGCCAAATTAAAATAAATAAATACATAAATAAAATTAAAATAAATAATTATTTTAAAAGTACTTCCTTCTTGTTAACACTTACAAACACAAATGAGACAGAATATTTTTCAGGAGCTCTGAATTAGCTTTTAATTAAAAAGATTTGAACTATTAAACTGAAATGTTTTTAGACTATGGTACTTATTGGTAAAATTGTATTTAATTTTGGATTTTACTCTAGATCTGAAGTAATTTTAAGTTGCTTACTCATTCGATAGAAAGGAAAATGAGAAAATAAAGAATAATGCTATGTGAAATTTAAAAAAAATTATGATTCTGTGAAGATCTTTGGAATTTGTTTGGTTACTGTTTTGGTAATTTTGCAAGATTATATACAAAGGCCATATTTAATTGGATTTATGTACGTATGTAATTTAAATTTGCCAGAAGGTAGATGCACTAACCTGAGAGAGAAGGAGGGATGGGGAGAAAGCCTCTCCCTACAGGACATGGTCATGCCACAATCCCTTCTCCTCACATTTCTGTTTTTAGACTATGGTACTTATTGGTAAAATTGTATTTAATTTTGGATTTTACTCTAGATCTGAAGTAATTTTAAGTTGCTTACTCATTCGATAGAAAGGAAAATGAGAAAATAAAGAATAATGCTATGTGAAATTTAAAAAAAATTATGATTCTGTGAAGATCTTTGGAATTTGTTTGGTTACTGGCTTGGTAATTTTGCAAGATTATATACAAAGGCCATATTTAATTGGATTTATGTACGTATGTAATTTAAATTTGCCAGAAGGTAGATGCACTAACCTGAGAGAGAAGGAGGGATGGGGAGAAAGCCTCTCCCTACAGGACATGGTCATGCCACAATCCCTTCTCCTCACATTTCTCTATCCTGTCAGGATTTTGGGCATGCACGCGCAAATGCCTGGTGTGTTTTTCAATCTACTGGGGCTGGAATTCGAAACACACAGTGTGGGAACTAGTGCCCTTAATCACCAGGCCATGGGGCTGGCCTTTACTGGATTTAATAGAAAATTACCTCAAGTGTTAATGCTGAAACAGCAGCATAGTAAGTTTTGTGTGTGCGTGTGTGTGTGACCACAAAATTATTTCAATATCCATCCACCCCAATCCTCCCAAAAAGTATGTTCTGATTCTCTTTGGTGACATCCCAGCTTATTACCTAACTCTTCTACTGTTTCACTGTTTTTTTCTTTCTTTTTTTTTTTTTTTTTTGTGAGAGGGTTTTTATGGATCTTTTTTTTTGGAGAGATTTTTTGCTATAGTGTGCATGTACTCACCAGAAAGACAGAGAGAGACAGAACGCGAGAAATCACCCTCCCTGGGGGGATGACCACGCTGCAATCTCTTCTCCATTCTCCTCTCAGGATCTTGGGCACATACGCACACATGCCCAGTGTGAGTTTAAGCAACTGGGTCTGGGACTCAAACCGTGGTTGACTACATGGGAATCCAGTGACATACCCATTACGCCAACTGCTGGTCCCTGTTTCACTGTGTTAAGATTCAAATGCTAAATACTATCGTATAGGTAGAGAATATATTGAATATTAAAGTTCTGGGTTTTAACTTCCTTTCTCTACTTTTCAACTTAACTCCTAGAAGGATTAGATTCTACTTTTCTCATTTGTTCATTCACCTCAACGATTCACTAAGTGGCCCCTGCATGAGAGGATATCTGATGAGTTCATTCGGTTGAGTTCAGCCAGTTTAGATTCCAATTCCTTTAGGAGATGTATATTTCAAAACCAGAGTTGTAATCAGGATGACAAGGTCGTACTGAGAGAAAGCAGTCAGAGTGCTCTGGAGGGGTAAGAAGGCCATCTGAGTTAGACTGGGTGCCCATACCTTTTCTGAGAAAGATGACATTTTCAAACATTTTTTGAAAGGTAAGTAGGTGTTAGTGAGGTGGCCGGTGGACAGGGTACCAGAGTGAGAAAACTGTACAGAAAGGAGTAATAAAGAAAAGAGGCAAGTATATAGTCTTCTCAAGTAGCTAGAGGTATTTCGGTAGAAAGTCCAGACTATCTTACAAGTTAAAGATATAAGCATTGTTTTATCTGTTTTTTTTTTTAATTGTCATAAAGATGTTTTTATACTTTAAATACTTGTACCTACAAGTATTTAAAAATTATGGATATCTGTGACTGTCTTTTAAAACTTGGGGATGGAGAAAAAATTCACATATTTATTCAAAAAATATTTGTGATATAATGTGATCTGCATTGTTAGAGTAGTGAAAAAGTCAAAGTCCCTGACCTTGTGCAGCTTCTGTTCCGCAGGGACATATTTTTCATAGGGAAGGAAGAAGTTTTTTTGTAATTTGGGTGTGAAGAGGGGGGGGAAAAAGCAGGTGGGGGTAATGTATATGTGTGTAGGATTATTTTCAGAAGTTAGGGAAGCTCTTCCTGGGAAGGGGGTTGTAGCTAGGAGGCCTACTTGAGCTGGGACACAAAGCATCCAGGAGAAGATGGATTGGTGAGAGCAGAGGCCAGTGACCAGTGGAGCAAGACAAGGACATGGGGAAAGTGGAGAGCCTGTGTCGGTGTGGCTAGAGCGGAGTGGTCCAGCCCGAGAGGGGAAGGAAATTAGGTCAGAGGGTTGACAAGGGACCTGGTCACGTAGGGCTTTGTAGGCCTCATTAAGGAACTTGAATTTAATTCTGGGTTTGACAGAAGTCATTAGAGGGGTTTAAGTCTGAGAATAATATTATCTGGTTTATATTTTAAGATGACTCTGACTCCCGTTACCCTAACACAGCCATTGATATCAATTTGCTTTCACTCTAGTGCTGCACTTAAAGGTCTCTGCACAATTTAGTTCTTTGAGTGCTAATATTTAAGGGATATCATATAACTTGGTCATTTTTTCATGTTCCCATCTACTGTTTGGATCAGAGAACAGTGTTTTTTTATTGTATAAAACTCCGTTGTTAGAATATTTATGAATGCAAGTGAGAAATATTTTGGTTATGTGACTTAATTGGCTGCTACACTGGGGCAATGCAGTTTAAGTCATAATCACTTTAGTACACTTAATGTTCCATTCACTTTCTCTTTCCGGGTGTTCATTACGGTTCTAAGCTACAGGTCTCTCCAATATTTCCAGCTACTTAATTATATACTTTTTGTTGCTGTTGGTACCAAAGTATTTTAAACTATCTTCCATTCCTTATAATTTTCATTTTAATGGCTTTTTAATAATAGGTAATATATTCAACAGCCTTTCTTGCCACCTTTGAAATCTTAAGGTTTATCTTTCTTAAACAGTTAACATAGTTAGGAGTGCTATTTTCATCATCTAAACCCATTTTCTTTCAATGTTTCTACCTGAAGAACTATGAGTTATAAAAATGATATCTGTTTTCTTTGTGGGGAGAGATAAATTTAAAAGGAGACTAAGAAGAAGGGAACTCAAGATACATGACGGTTAATTCAGTTAATATTTGTGGAGCACCTGTACTAACAGGAATGAACAGTGCAACACAGTGTCTTCTAGAACACACGAACTCAATAAATAATAGTGCTACTGTTTTTTAGTATTGAAAATTAATTATATTATTTTATTATTAGAATGCAGCATTATGAAATATTTTATTTGTCATGGATATTTTTAGTAGGTACCTCGCCTGATTTTAGTCTATGGGAAAGCACCCACACTTCTAATAGAGTGCTAAAAATGTTTTCTGTGATATGTAAAAGGACTTAAAAGTTTGTGGGAAAATGGATTTAAAGTGTGAGTTTGTTTTGGTGCAAAAAAATTTGAAATCATGCGTAATTTTCTCTTAATACATATTTTCCATGAACTTTTAAAGACCCCCTTGTACTCTAGAGACCTTAAACAGAACCTGTTTGTGCGGTAGGACAAATCTAAGAAAAGCTAAAAAGGAAGGTAATGTCTGAGTTGGCGCTTGCAGGGTGAAATGGGTTAGGTAAGCAGAAACAGGTCAGAAGGGCATTCCAAGCAAAGCAGAGAGAGTAAAGTGAAGTCTGAAAGTTACAGACATGCATGGCCTACATTGGTAGGTAGCATTTTGCAAAAAGTGCATAATATATAAATAGTGCTGTTATAAGATTGGAAATGGAAGCTTTCATGTATCAATTAAGGAGTACAAGCATTCTTGTAGCAACACAATTGTTGTACTTAAGCAGGGGCATTAGGAGATCAAACCAAAGCTACAGCAAATGAACTGGGCTGGCCCCACTAGCACAGTAGGTAAGCACTCACCAAAATAAGCCAGATCCCACATGGCTGGCTATGGTTCAAGTACTAGCCTGGCAGTTTCAAAAACATCCTCGACATACATATGTGTCCAGCATCGTGATGGGATAGAAAGTTGGAGGAAAAGGATTGTGACATGACCAGGTCCTAGGGGAAGGGAATGTAGGGGGCTCTTTCACTCTTACCCTTTGGCATTAAAAGAAAGCAACACCAAAACATTTACTGCCAGCAGAAATTAGAGATAGCTGGAGGTGCTATAGTAGTAATTCTGAGGGTCTAAGTGTGAAAAGTGAGAATATGGAAGTAAGAAAGGATGTGATGGTCAGGACCAGCAGTTAGTGTAATGGCTATGTTGCTGGATTCCCATGTAGTCGACCACGGTTTGAGTCCCGGACTTGGTGGCTTAAAATTCATGCCAGGCACGTGTGCGTGCGTGCCCAAGATCCCAAGAGGAGAATGGAGGAGAAGGGATTGCGGCGTGGCCATCCCCACTGGGGGGTCGGGGCTGAGTGGGTGATTTCTTGCTTTCTATCTCTGTCTGGTGAGTGCACGTACCCTATCGCAGAAACCTCTTAAAAAAGAAAAAAAAAAAAAAAAGAAAGGATGTGATGATAACATCTGAGAAGATTCAGTATAACTAAGAGACTAATTATTTGGAAATGTGGGGAGAAAGAAACATCAATAGTATTGTAGTCATAACAGTTCAAATGTATCCGATGTTCACCACATGCCAGTAGTTATTTTAAGTGTTTGCACATGTTAACTCATTTATCTTCATAGCCATAATCTACATAGTCATTCAGTAGATCCTAGGGAAACCAAGGCAAAGAAACCACCCCCATAGTTCCTAGTCTTGTGAAAATGTCTTTATTGGGATGAGTAAGAGAAAAGAAACATTTGTGGGAGAGAGGAAGAGGCAGTTAATGTTAATTAGGACTTTCCAGGCCCTTTTCTGTAGAATGCTTATGCTAGCCTCCATGCTAAGTAATAACTTTGTTTCTGGAATGGGAAGGAAGGCAATACTGACTTAATTAAGTACCCGTGTCAGTGATAGGCTAAAGGAAGGCTGTAGTATCCTTTATCATAAAAGTTGAGCTTATGTTTCTCATAGCTCTTATTTCATTATTTTGTTAAAGTAGGTGTGACTTTATTATTCACTGCTGCTGATTTTTTAAGGCTTTATTTTGCAATTGAGCATAGAGGGTGCTTTTGTCACTAACAGCACTCTTCCTTCCACAGTACTTTGAATACTCTGCTCAGCGTGAAATTCGGCACAACATCCAGAAGGAATTATGTCTTCATGCTGCTAAAGGTCCCGTTCAGCTGAAGGCCTGTGCCTACAAAGGCCACAAGACAGTTGTTACTGCAGAGCAGATATGGGACATCCAGAAGGTACCCAAGTGCAGTCGACTCACCTCTCGTTTATGTATTTTGATGAGTTCCAATTGCAGACCTGGAAAATGCATAAAACGTAGCACATGGATTTATTCCTCAGAGTTTATTCACTTCGTTATCATGTACTTTGACCCATGTGATAAGAGAATTTATCCATGAGTCAAGCAACCTAAGGAACAAAATAATTCTAAAGTGGCTTGGCTGAGCTGTGGTTTATGCAAATCCACATTTTTATAAATTATTAATGATAGTTGCTCATTTTCAGTTTCTTTTTTTATAATACTTTTAATTTTAACACTTTTTCCCCGGACAGAGAGAAAAAAAATCATTTTTTTTGTTGTGTAAATTCTTTTGTCCCCCGTTTCCGTATTTTGTCATGAATCTAGAATGGAGAGAAAATATAGTCATTCTCTTCTGTTTTTAAACACGTATTTTAAAGTTTAGATGCATAGTAGCAATTCTCCTGAAAATTAGTTTTTGCAATAGTAGCAAAACTGGCTTTTATTATTTATGATTTTTTAAAACAATGTGTTACTTAAGGTTTCTGAAGGAATCCTTGTTTGAAAACTATATTCACACCTTGCTATGTTTACCTCTTTTCATTTATGTAATACTTTATGTTAGGTGAACATTAGTGGTATAAATGGCAGTGCTTACATCAGAATCTGACAAAATTTCTTCAGACATAGTTGATCTTAGAAAGATTTAAAGTTGCCACCAGCAGATGGCATCATGATTATGTTGCTAGAATCCCACATAGTTGACCATGGTTCAAATCCTGGACCCAGCAACTTAAAAATTCACACTAGGCGCATGTGCACCTTGTGTACCCAAGATCCTGAGACGAGAATGGAGGAGGGGTTATGGCGTGGCCATCCCTACTGGGGGGTGATTTCTCCCTTTCTGTCTCTTTGTAGCTCTCTCTTTGTCTGGTGAGTGCACACACTCTATAGCAAAAATCTCTCTTAAAAAATTTAAAGTTAAGAAATATGTATATTTAGTATGCAAGGGATTTTTTTGGCTTTGATGAAACCATAAAGTCATTTGTATACTTATTTTTAACTATGAATCTTGAAACTTATTGTCTGTTGTGTTTCCTTTTATTCCAGGATCAACTTCTATATAATCCATTCTTTAAAATGTGCCTTTCAGCAAATGGAGAGCATCCAAACTTAGTGCCATGCAATCCATCAGATTCACTCCAAAAATGGATATTTAGCCAAAATGATTAAGGGTTCCTTAAAACTAAGGAGTTGAAAAGGAGATATTCTTTCTCTTAAAACTGTGACCAGGCAAACACTGTAGTTTTAAAAATTATGCAAAAGCAGCTAATTGTAACTTATTCCAAGTGCATTTTCCTTATTTATGTCTTAAAATGTCTGTGTAGCACTGCTACAGAAATTTCATAAGTTTCTGTTTCAAAGCACAATTTAACTAGTAATACCAAAGAGAGTTTTGAAATGTCCAGATTAAGGGAAGAGATGTTTACAATATGATGAAAACTTTTCCAAGTCAAGTAATGTTTGCGTATTTTGTACATTTGAGGATATACATAACTACATAAAAATGCTCACGATTTAAAATATTTCCCTACTTTTTGAAGGAGAGTGGGAAAGATTTCATACTCTTTTTTTTTTTTTAACTACACATAAATGGATCAATGAATATCAAACATTGGTCACTGTGTAAAAAACAGGAAATTTTTGTAGATCTAGAATTTATTGTACTTTAAAATTCAGGTGAATTTTTTTTTTGCCTCTTACATATATGTCAAATGTCTCCTTAAACATGAAATTGAATAAGGAAAGAAATATTTTTAACACTGAAATTTCTTGGAAAATTTAAAGATATTTTTTATTCTGAAGGCCATTCGACTTGAAGCACGTAAGTCTTCCTTAAATAACTTTTCTTAAGTTTTTCCAAAGCAATCTTTAAAAGACTTTATAAATTACTATTGGCTGAAAAGGTGTCCTTTTCCTTTCTGCTAGTCTTTATTTTCTTACCAGAATTTACTAATCTTGAATGTTTGTGATATTGAATTTTAAATGCAGAATACTTGACTTATTTAAGCTAAATTTTATTTGTTACTGATTCAATTATAGATTGTCTTTGTAGTGTATTTTTTCCATCAAAAAAGCCTTATTTTTATCTATGAGGGAAACACAATAAAAATCCTAAACACTATTGCCATCATTGGTTAAGTTTTTTTTTCCTCTTTTGGGTAAAATCTATAATGGTAAGAGGTGGGGGCATGGGAATTTTATATAATAAATTTGGAAGTACTTGCTGTTTATAGAGCCACCAGATATTTCTTACAAAACATTCAAACATTTGATAGTAATAGTATAAAAAATGAAGAGGATACTATAATAGATCTTTAGAAAATTTAATAGGGTGATTTTTTAAAAAATGATGCTTAGATTTAAGGCTTTTTTTTTTCTTTTTTTGGTCATTTTATAGACGGATCTTTTATGTACCTATTCTAAAAGTAAAATACGATTGGTTTTATACTCTAAACCTGGCAGAGCCTCCATTGTACAAAAGAAAACTGGATTATTGGCCTCAGCTTACTGTTTGTATCTTTGAACTTGCATTTTTTAAAAAGTGCATTCTCTGGTTATTATGCCAGTTTTTATTTTACGTCAACTGACATTGATTGTATGTCTAACTTTGTTTCAAAATGTCTAGTAGGCAGAGTAAGACCTGTCACTGCTTTGAAACTGTGTCTTAGAGGGCAGAAAGAAAGATAAATAACTTCAAAATAGTGAGTGCCAATATGATGTTATATTTTATGATGCAGATAACAACTCACTATTCATATTTGACATTTCCTTAATAAATAAAGGTATTTCTTTATCACTATACCTACTACTAATATGTATTATTATTGTATATTAGTGCCCACCTATGTGCAATTTCTGCTTCTCAATTTGTTACTGTAGATGTAAAGCAGCCGTGAGCCAATACTGACCTTAGAGCATGTTGTATTTCTAAAAACAAAATAATTTCTCGAAAATAAGACATTTTTTAAAAAACAACCCATCTGAGGGTCCTCCATATTATTAGTGATGTATTTCCTTATCTTGATCCAACTGAAATCTATTTAGATGGGATTGACTTTATTATGGCTGAATGAAATACGCTCACAGGGAAAAAATCTGTCTTACCTGATTTGGTGTTACTCAAATGTCATACAAACCATTTCATTAAAGATTGACCCTGTGAGATGCTTAGTGCCTTTAAAAGTCTTGCGTTTGGGGCCAGCCAGTGATATGATAGTTAAGGAGGCTGGATCTCACATGGCCGACAACGTGGTTTAAGTCCTGAACCTAATAGCTTGAAAAACTCACCGAGTGTGTCTATGTGCATGCCCAAACCCTGAGAGGAGATGGAGGAGAAGGAATTGTCGAATAGCCATCCCACCTGGGGGGGGTGATTTCTCAACCTCTCTCTCTCTCTCTGGTAAGTATACACATACTCAGTAGCAAAATTAAAAATTAAAACAAAATAAAGCAAAAAACCCCTGACTTTTGGAACGACACTGACAGGGAGTTATTTATGAAGGCTGGCAGCCATCCACCTGAGAGATTTGAATGCACTCAAGTGTGAAATCGTGGAACGCTTGCTCAATTTGAAGCTGCCGTGGCAAATGGTCTAGTTTTACAGAAGACCTGGCATGCTGCCCTCATTCCAGAGGACCCAGTCCTAGGAACTCTGGTTGGTAAGCTGCACTGCCCAACCTGTGAGGGTCAAACTGCTGGGCAGGCTTGATGAAAACTAAGACATGACCACACAATTAGCCATAAGAAAAAGGAAGCAGTATACTAAATCGTTAATAGTATAATCAGTGGTGATGAAATTTTTAGTCCACTTATTACCAGAGAGTGGTCTTGCTGGGAATAGACAGTGTAGGGGCAGCTCCATGGTGCAGCAACGGTCATTGGTCAAGAGAGGGCAGCATCGTACATGATGGACACAGCCCAGGTGGCCAACCCAGTCGCCCTGAAACGTGCTGGGCACACAGGCAGGTTCTCAGGGTCCATCTGGCTAGAGGTCTGGAGATGGGGATCACAGTGTGACCAGATCCTGTGGATGACACGTATATCTCCCTCTCTCACATGTGTGCACACATGCTCTATCATGAAAAAAATAAGAGAAAACATAGAAAATGTATTAAACATTATGTAAACCATCAAAATATAACTGAGAAAAGGAGGAAGTTGCTGTCTGCGAAAACAAGGTTACATTCTCTTTTTTTAAAAAGAAATTTTTGCTATAGGGCATGTGTACTCGCTGGAGAGACAGAGAAAGTGAGAAATCACCCAAAGGGTTATAGTCATGCCACAATCCCTTCTCCTCCATTCTCCCCTCAGGATTTTGGGTACACATGCTTGTGCACCTGGCATGAGTTTCAAGCCACCAGGTCCGGAACTTGTCGCTGACAGCGTAAGAGTCTAGCGCTTTAACCACTTATACCACCTGCTAACCCCACAAGGTTATATTCTTAAGAAAGATTGGAAATATCAAGTCATTAAAGAGATGCTGGCCTAGCTGCAATGGTGCAGGCAGTAAGGTGCCCCTGTACAATACTGGAGCCCTCTGGGGAGGACCTGGATCCTGAGTCAACGTAAATACCCCTGGTATGTCTTCAGTCCCACTGTCTGGAAGGCTGGTGGGAGGATCATAGTGTGAGAGCCTGTCGAGGGTGCTTGCTTCTTTTTCTATGTCTCCCCATCACTTTCTCACTCATAAAATAAAGAAAGAAACTTAAAAAATGGGGGGTGGAGAACTGCCCCATAGCCTATAAGTTAAGGGATTAGTATCCCACATGAACTACCTCATGAATGAAATCCTGGCTAAGGTGGCATGGACATACTGGGCACATGCATGTGCATGCCCAAAGTCTCTGGCAGTTAAAAACAAAATGGTAGATTATGTATGAATAAGGACTATAAAAGGGGAAACAAAAATCTAGGGCAATTCTGCACTCATTCATAATTCATTTTAAAAAGAGCAAATTTAAATATCTTAAGACAACACACTTTAGCATTGTTTGTGCAGAAGAAATGTTGCAGAACTCTCAGAAACCAGATTAGGCTCAACAGAATAAAATGGCATAGTAAGGCCAGGCCTGTAGCACAGTATGGCTGCTGTGCAGAGGAAGCTGGAGCCCATATAGATGACCAAGGTTGGATCCTAGTCCAGAAACAAGATGCCAGGTGTATGTGTGCAGGCATGCCTGGGATCCTGACGAGACAGAGAAATAGAGGAACACAGGTCCTGCTTAGGAGTGCTTTGTTTCTCTCTCATGCACATGGGTGTGCCCTCTGGCATTTAAAATAAAATGGCATAGCATTTGCATGTAACCTAAGCACATTCTCCTATATATTTTAAATCATCTCTAGATTACTTATAATACCTAACTATTATGTGCATAATATGTTAATAGTTATTATAATGTATTTTTAGGGCATAATGACAAGAAAAAAAAAATGTGTGTACCGTATGGAAGCACCCATGGCAGGCCTAGCTACCTAGTATTTTGTCAGCAACAATGTAACTTTTTCATCTTCAGTTGTTTGAGCCTGCAGATACAAAGATTCCACTGTAGTCACTCTCTAATCTTCAACAATACAGAGTATTTTGTGTTTTAGGTATAGTATTACATACTAGGGATTAAAGCACAATACAGTCCTTATCTTTAAGAGGCTTATACTCTGGTAATGTGCTCAGTGGTGTGATATAAAAACAGATAATGTTCGGAAGAGAAACAGTGCCCTGGCTTCCGTTGAGCCCATTGCCAGTATCAAGAACAGAAACCAGGACTCATATTTTAAAGATAGTGAAAGTAATGGTTCTTAAGCTTTATTTGACACATCTGGGGATCTTATTAAAATACAGATTCTGATTTAGTAAGGCTTTGTTAGAGCCTGTGTTTCTATATTCCTAACAAGCTGTCGGGGTGCCAAGGCTGCTGGCCTGGATACCACACTTTGAATGGAAAGCAACAACTTAAACAATGCCCAGAGTTCTTTGAGAATACCACAGTGACTTCCACTGTACTTCACGCCAGTCACTACTTCAGGCACCACCTTTACTCTAGAAGTTAGGGCCTTCCTACCATCACTTACTGTCCTTATGGTTCCCTGGCAGTTCCTACAACCTTCGTATATCCCTGATTTAATCAATCCCGCACTGTCGGATTACTTCTACTCTGCCAACTTCTGTTCTTTGATAAGAAAATTCCCATTCGGATCAATAGCTTGTCTCTAAAAGTTCTTTTCTTTGCTTATCCTTAACTGCTGCTAGACATCTCCTAAGATCCTGCTTTCTAGTCTAGTAAGGATTAGGTATGTATTTTTGTTTGTTTGTTGTTTTGTTTTCTATTGTTTCTCTTGTGCTGTGCTTCAGAGCTAGAATTTGGTATAAGTGTTTTCTTTTTCAAAAGTCCCCAGATTATTTGAAGCCCTGCCATGTGTGTGTGTGTGTGTGTGTGTGTGTGTGTGTGTGTAT